CGCAGTTTCATGGGACTAACTGGATATTACCGTCACTTTGCAAGGGCATCCCTAGGATAGCTCAATCATTGAACAAACCGACGTAGGAGTCGACTAGTTTGTATGGAGTCCTCAGTGCGAAGCAAGCTTTCAGGAGTTGAGTACGAGGCAGATAAGATGGCTAAAACTAGTTAAGGACTACAGCTACACGATTAGCTACCATGGGGGAAAATGCTAAAGTATTAGCCAAAACTTTAAGTTGGAAGGGTCGTGGAGAGTCGGCCTATGAGTTTACCTAACAGGAGAATCAAGTTAAAAAGGTTTCTCGGCTAGAGATATAGATAGTGGAGTAGTCTTCCAGAGCCAGTGGTATGTTAGTCATTGGTTGTGGGACCGACTCTGCGAGAGAAGATAGTAGCCGAGTAGCCTAAGGATCGATTCTATGCCGGATGAGAGAGTTGTTTCCAGCCGACAAGAGAAGTAGAGATCTTCAGTTCGAGGTTGGCGACAAGGTCTTTCCGAAGGTCTCACAGAATAGAGGTGAAGTTCACTTCGGGAAGAAAAGAAGGCAACCTCGTTTTGTTGGTCTTTATGAATATTAGACCGAGTTGGCGATCTAGCCATTAGTTAGTTTTACCAACTTAGGTTTGAGGGTGCATGACGTATTATACGTCTTTATGAGATACTTGCACGATCCCGAGCATGTGATAGACTTTGGCGAGCTTCGGGTCGGGTAGAGACTGACTATGAGAAATTACCGGTAGAAGTATTAGACTAGAGGGTCCACCAGTTGAGAATCCGAGAGAGTCACTCGTCAAAGTTCAACGGAGTTGCCATGGCGAGGCCGAGGCCACTTGGGATAGCGAGTACTAGTTTCGGATTTAGTGCCAAATTTACCAGTTTGAGTTGTCCTTTGTAACGGGTACTTTTGTACTTTGCTCTAGTTTTGAGTAAGTAATTTCTGAGGACGAAAATCTTTTAAGGGGGTAGATTGTAACATCCCATTCAGTTATTAATAAAAGTAATTATTTTAGTTCCGAGTTTGAACCAATTTACTTTTATTAATGCTCTTTCCTAATTCTGAGCCCAGTTATTAAGTCATTCAGTTATAAGTTCGACTTTAAGTCGAAAGTATTCTCGGTTAAATTTTATTCAATAATCGAGCCAGTTTACAAATTAGTTCCGGTCCGTTTATTTTTAGAAATGGACTTTATAAGTCGGGAAATAATTATTCCAAGTTGTCAAATTAATCAAAATCAAGAATAGTTGAGATAATTAATTTATTTAGACATTTTGTCTATTTAAATTAAATTCATAGTTTAACCGAGATATTAGAAATTATTTTTTCAGTATAGTGAGAATCATTAATTTTTAGCCGATTCATTATCGCCGATATTATTTTCTCAACTAGAAATATTTTGAGACTAATTTGGAACCTTATAAGCTATATTTATTTCGTTCAAATTATTATTCAACTCTCGAACCAAATGTTATCAGATGTCGCTATTGTCATTGAGCAGAATCAAATATATCACTTTGTACAAGTTGAGATAAATGTCATTGTACTTCCAGCTCAAAGAAATTTTCCCGCGCACGCCATCTTTGGTAGATCAACAGAGTTGTTAAAAATAGATCATGTATTAATGTTAACGTGTTTCGTGGCCATCTCTAACGCCCCGTTCGATTTATAGAATCTCTCGGATTATTCTATTTGTCAAATATTATTTATAAGATTGTATTTAATTTATTAGTCGCGATGTCGACTTAAATTCTATGTTGAAGTACTTGATCGTTTTATTTTAAAACGTTCGTCGTTCGGCGATTTCGGTAATCACGTAATTCGAATCTAAGCCATTCGATTATTAGATTTTTTCCGAATATTTTATTGGCATAATTATTGTAATGCCCCGAACTCGTGTCATTCATTTTATGCATATTTAGTATTTTTCATGATTAATTAATTAATGTTAATGTTAATGTTATTTTATTTTATTGTTGAGCTCGATTTTTATGTATCGATTAAGTGAGTGTCCACACTCATTAATCATAAATATTGATAATTGAAAAAAATTATTTAGATGTCCTCATCTATTTAATTTTTCTATGTATTAAATAGTCATAATATTAATATAATTTTTATTATATTAATGGGATATATTAATTAAATAATTAAAACCTTAGCAGTAATTAGCAGGAGTATTAATATAAGATTTTGAGCATAAAAAATCGACCCTAAGGAGAGAAAAAAAACGTGAGAAGTGAGAAAAGATAAGAGAGAAAAATCTTGTCTTGATCACCAAGCCAAAAAAGAATCCCACACACATGGAAATAGGAATCCTTTTTCTATTCCAAGTCTTATAAACCTACCTTTATAAATATATCTCTTCCCTCATGAGATTTATTTTTTCCTACGCTAATTATTTCACAAGATCAAAAATCTCATCTTCAAAAAAAAAGGGAACGCACGCACGCAACAAGAAAAAAAAAGAAGAGAAAAACTACATCCCTTCACACGTTCAAGCCTACCGCCAAGAGCCCGAGCTTTTTCACGAGTCATTCTTTTCTTCTTTTTCCCGAGCACGGTAAACCCTCTTTTCGATTCTTGGGCTGAATTTAATGTTCATAATATTAATAAAGCATGATAAGATATGTAAATTAACAAGAGAATTATATAAGATTCAATGATTTTCTTTTATATTTAATGAAAGACCAAGTTGGATCTTGGACAATTTGATATTTTTAAAAGATATTTAATGTCTAAGAAGTTGATAATAAGGCTTGCTTAATCAAGATTATGTGCCATGATGAATTGAATTATTATTGATGATGATTTATAGAAGTTATGCATGAAATTTCTGTTTTCGTGGCCTCTGTTGTGAGACGTTTTGGTGACCAAGAACTCGTTTCTTGGGAATATGTTCTTCAGGTGATATGTGGAAAATTTTGTTAGGTTTCCGTAAGTTTTAGAATCTTGGGGATCGGAATTTATATGGATTTTATATGATTTTTAAAAATCAGTTGTGTGTCCAGTTTTTATGAAGTCAGGACTGAGAATATACCTTTCATGTATGACCCACTTTGATGTGTCAAACGTACTCAAATGTGAAATAGGTCTTCATGAGATATGTATACTTATGTGTGTAGTTTCTGTAAATTTTGGAATTTCATGATTTTATGGCCTATAGCTCGAGATACATGAGAATTACTGAGGTTCTGTATGTAATATAAGTTGATTTCTGGCAGTTTTTATGAACTGAATGTTTTAGAATTAAACACGATGATAATATTATTATTTGCCAATGTGGTCTTCAGCAACGTTGTAGATAATTAAGTTGGATGCCTTGTGGTTTTTGAATCTTATGAAAAGCATGTCTGTAGCTTCAGTTATCTTGAAATTACTGAAGTCCTGTCAGCTGTTTTATTTCAATCGTTGACTGCGGCTATGAATTAGATGTTTGCTATATTATGTGCATTTAAATGACCTTATCTGTTTGAGTTGTCATCATGAAAGTTGTAGAGGCATGAGTTAGGGATAATTTCTAATTGTAATCATCATTATATGACCTATGGACCGAAAGTTACATGCATTCTAAGTTCATCGTGCATGCTGAAAATTGTATAAGTTCATGTTTGGAATTCGAAATTGATTATTATTGTTAAAAAACATGTTTATGTGGCATAACTGATCCATGTCATGATATTTGAAGTTTATATGACCCTTCAATGCCCTATGTGATAAAAGTTAAGCAAGTTAAGTTATCAACCAATCGAAAAGACTTAAACATAAACGTTTTCAAAGTATGCGAGCAAGGCGAAGCTGAGCAAGCTAGTTTTCAAAGTTCATGTATAAGTATGAGTTTAAGTTAAGCTATGATAAGATTATAAGACATGTCCCAATGAATTGTAGTCAACGAGAAGTCGAGCCCTCGAGTTCTTTCAAGTTCAAGCCTTTAAGTCGAGCATTCCCAAAAAGGTGGGGGAAGTTCTACGTTATTTATCCTTCTTGATTATCTATGTTTTGAATGAAGTTAAGTAGCTTGCATAGTACCCATGTTTAATGTTTCCAATATTCGAGCAAATCGTTTGTTGCAGTACCAAAGTTCACGGACTATAACTCTAGTGGGTGGCTAGGTGCTAGGGTTAGAGTATGTAAGTGTGTGCATGTAACCTTCGTTGGTGCACACTTCGAACGGTTGTCCCCGTCGATAAGACTGTACGAAGCCATGATGAGGGTTGTCTTCCTTCAACCCCACGGGTGGTACTCTTGTCAAGCTTAGTTGGCCGTGCCGCGAGAGGCAATGTTCTCCCACCACCATAAAGTGGTATAAGGAGTTTGACGAGGGGTGGGAGTGTGACGATAGTGTACTCACGTGCATGCTATGACTTTAGTGTTTAGTTGTCTAATAGGGTTGTAGTAGCAAGAAAGTCTTTCGACTTGTGGTCAACCACTCATCGGAAGCTCATGATTATGTTGAGTATACCCAATGATTTTATGCATGATAGTTGGTTGGGATGGTAACTTAGAAGGATCTCTCACTGAGTAAGTGGAAATGCTCACACCCTATTTGTTTTCCACACCCAGGTATATGACGAGCTGGCATTGGAGCGATGGCGAGGGTGGTCACATGGTCATAGGATTATAATATGATTTGAGTTTCTACGCTTCTGCAATTAGTTATGTTTTTATGGAATATTCATGTTTAAAGCAAAGTGTATGTCATCGATATGCAAAGTTCAATGTTAAGCCAAGGTCAAATGTAAGCCCTCAAGGCATTGCCATGGAAAGTTTATCTTTTATGTCTAATCTTTTCAAAGTAAGACAAAGTCATGAGTTGTTCACGAAATGTAAGTTAAGTTTCAGAACCCGTCGAGCAGTTCCCAGTCCTCGCCGGTGAAACCTTGAGCAATGAAGAACTCCAGAGAGCAACACCTCGTCGTTGGCAGTCCATCTTAGCCATTCGCCGGGCAGTAGTTTTTTTTTTCCGTCGCCGAGTTCATCCCCTATTTTATTTTCTTCGAGCGGAGCAATAAAGCGGGGTAAATTCGAGCAGCCCGAACGAGAGAAATCCGTCGCCGGCAGTCCATCTCAGCCGCGCGACTTCTTCAGCAGATCCCGTCCTCCACCATACGCGACCAACAACGGATTTCCCATCGCCTTGAGCCCAACAACAACACCCGTTCTCAGCCAGGCGACCTTTGAGCATAGCAACGACACCCCATTGGCCTTCGTCTAGGCTCGAATAGCAGCGGCAGCCCTTTTGGGTCCCATGTGAGAATAGCGACAGCCGTTCGAGGCTTTATCGAGCAACCGGAGACCTCGAATCAGCGGCAAATCGGCTCCTTTCCAGCGAACAGAGACGGCCGCTTCCAATGGGTTTTGCCGTCGACTCCGAGCAGCCATCTCCCCGTCGGCTTCTTTTTCGAGCAGTGAGGCTGATACCAGGAGATCCTTCTCCCCCTCTCGTACAAATTCCGGCGAACTCCCTCGTGCAACCCGAGAACGTGAACAGCCCAACGAAGAACAAATAGCCGCAGACAAGGGCAGTGGTGCCTGATCGAGCCCCGTTACCGTTTCCTTTTTTCGATGAGTAATTAGTCAGAGCCCCGATTTTCCCTTGTATGGCTGAGTTCATCCCCTATTTTATTTTCTTCGAGCGGAGCAATAAAGCGGGGTAAATTCGAGCAGCCCGAACGAGAGAAATCCGTCGCCGGCAGTCCATCTCAGCCGCGCGACTTCTTCAGCAGATCCCGTCCTCCACCATACGCGGCCAACAACGGATCCCATCGCCTTGAGCCCAACAACAACACCCGTTCTCAGCCAGGCGACCTTCGAGCATAGCAGCGGCACCCCATCAGCCTTCGTCTAGGGCCCGAATAGCAGCGGCAGCCCTTTCGGGTCCCATGTGAGAATAGCGACAGCCGTTCGAGGCTTTATCGAGCAACCGGAGACCTCGAATCAGCGGCAAATCGGCTCTTTTCCAGCAAACAGAGGCGGCCGCTTCCGACGGGTTTCGCCGTCGACTCCGAGCAGCCATCGCTCCTTTCCGAGCAGTGAGGCCGATACTGGGAGATCCTTCTCCCCCTCTCGTACAAATTCCAGCGACCTCCCTCGTGCAGCCCGAGAACGTGAACAACCCAACGAAGAACGAATAGCCGCAGACGAGGGCAGCGGTGCCTGATCGAGCCCCGTTACCGCTTCCTTTTTCCGATGAGAGGTAATTAGTCGGAGCCCCGATTTTCCCTTGTATGGCTGAGTATAGGCGACTTTATGTGCTTAGATATTTCAGTTGAAATTCATGCCTATATTGATTCAATTCTGAAGGCCTGAGCTGTATTGTTTGAGTTAAGAATAGAAGGCTATTCATGTGGTTTTGTGTACTTTGTTCAAATGCCTTGGTTGCTGTCTTTTTTTTTTTTTGTGTGTTTTAATTTCTGTTATATGTGCACTTTGGAGCCTTAGTTGTTGTATATTATATGCTCAGAAATGCTTGAACTAGGTGGTTCTATGCCTTGTTTATTGTATTATGCGGAGGCTGTGAGCGTGCAAATGTTTCATTTTGTGTTGAAAGTGGTATTTGAGGTGCTTGAACGAGGTGGTGTTTGCCTTGGATTATTTGTTTTTGTGTTGGGCTGAGAGCATGCTAATATCTATACTGCTTACATGTCAATTACTTTAAGCAGAAACGTGTATTAAGGTACTAATTTTGAGCTTCAGTTTTGATTATATACTTGTGTAAATTTTGAAAGAGAAATGAGATATGTTCATGTGCTCATTTGAACCTCATGTTTTGCCATGTTGCTGAACCTTATGTGTCGTATCTATGATGCTGGAAATTGAGTAAACTTAAGAGTTTTTATTCTACTTATATTTTAAGCCTTCTATCATGTGTTACTGAATTGGAGAGAAATGAAAGGAATTGAGGCATGTATACTGTGAAATCTTTAACCTCGTTATGATGAATGTTTCTAATGCTGCTGTAGATCTTTATCATGCCTATGTTAAATATTTTTAGAGCCTTGCATGAAGTTCTTAAGGCCTTATTATGTGTTGCTTAAATTTTGAGAAAAAGGAAAATGGAAGGAGGCATATTTGTTGCATGTTTGGACCATGCGAATTGGTTGAGTTGCTGAGACTTTTATGTGAATTCTTTTCGCGGAGCTTATGTATGTTTTGTTTCAGATTATGGAATTAGTTTATAGGGCCTATTTTATATTGAGTTTGTTTATGTGATATATATGCTGAAATAGTGTATTTTCTTTATGGGGTTAAGATAAAGAGATAGAAAATTATGTGACTTTATTTGCTTAATTTGACTGAATTATCTAATTTGTATCTGCTTAACTTGATCGCATTTTGTGATCTTATTTGATATGTGTGCCCGACGTGTTTTAAGGTGTTGATCTATATTTTTTATCAAAACCCTTAACAGTAATTAAACCCTAATTTGTAGATTAAGAGGAGTCGAACCCTCGCCATTGTTTGCTCGTGCATTCACCATTGTCCTCTGCAGTATCATGTGGGTTTTATTTGAAATTGCTATGCCTTAATTAATTGTTATTGTTGTGGTATGATCAAAGTATGCGTGTGAACCATGTAGCCTTCGATGTGAGCTATATTGGCCGTCGAACGGTTATCCCCGTAGCTATAGAACGTACCCGATGGGTAACCTCCTTTATTTATGTATGGCAGTCAGGGCGTGAGCCTTGGCTGGTGATCTTCGATGTAAGTCCGAAGGCTAGGTTCCAGGCATTCGGATTGGATTCACTCCTACTGGCCGGGCATTGATTGTAAGACCCGAGGGGCATTCGATACGTGTATCAGCAGTGGTCTATTGATATAGGTGTGCACATGAGGGTTGACTCTGGGATAGGAGATGGGATATTAATTTATTTGTGTTCATACTACAACCATACCTGCTTTATTTTATGAATTTGAATATTAATTATTGCATAGCGGTGAGCTTCTCGATTTTTCTATTGTGCTCACCCCACCTGCTCTTCATGGATGTAGGTTAGTAATTGCGGGCACGACAGAGGGAGGCGAGTGTTGGTCATGTTACTGAGTACTTTCGCTGTTTAAACTGCTTAGTATCATTTATGCATTTCTGNAAATGCCTGCCTAGAACCGACCCCAACGGGGTAAACTCACGAACACTAAAAAAACACCAACTAACAACACAAACACAAAGGCCTCATCAGGGCCATTCCCGAGTGTCGGACTCCAACAGAGTAATGAAAATGACACTCGGGCTCACAGAGGCAACTGCCCAAACCAAAAAACACAAGACACGCACAACACAACTACGAAAACCAAAAGCACTAACACAAAAACTAAATAACTATAACAGCCCTTCCTCAACAAAACGAGCGAACTCAAACCAGAACGATCGACCCTAGACAAATCCAGACAAAGAACCTGCTACCGAAACTGCAACCAAGCCTATACAATAGCAGAAATCTAACTCCGAACCCTTCCCCGGATCAACCCATCGCAACCGAGAGAGCCATAGTCAAACCCACACCGATTCCATCCGAGCACTTCTAACACCACTAGACGAGACCAAATAGAATCTACCCGGCCGACTAACACCACTAGTCAAACGGGGAAAGTGCAAGTCAAAGACGGCCCCTCTCCGACCGCCGCAACAAAACACCGCAGAGACCGGAGCCCCGCCCCACCCTATAGCTCGCACTCCACCCGTCACCACCACGGACATCCAACGACAAGAGGCCCGGGTGCCACCCGAACAGGTGAAACTCGCCGGAGCCAGCCAAATCCGCCAATCGCTGACAAATAGAAAACAGGGCTTACCTTCGCAAATCGCAGCTCCACCGGCAACTGAGAAGCCTCCACTCACCGGCCTTACTACGACCTTGAGGTGCACTACCGCCGTCCTGAAATCCATCGGCGTTCGCGAATGTGAGACCACCGTCAATGGACCATCTGAAGCAGTAATAGGGGCGCACTTTGCCAGGGGGGGGAGGGAGCGGTTGAGACGACCCCTAGCCGAGCTGGACTTTTGTTGAGGAAGGCGGAATCGCCGGAAGAAGAGGAAGCTGGACGGATTGGGGGCTAGGGTTTTTTCGCCGGAAGAAGAGGAATTTTTTTTTTTCTGAGTTACGTTCAGTACCGGATTATTGATAGGGAGTGTACTCCCTAATATTTATGAATTTGACAAACTCAGTTCTGGGAGTTGATGTTATTTATGAACCCGATTTGGGTGTTGGCATGATTATTGAACCCGTTTGGGAGTTGCATTTATGATATTGTTGAAATTATTTTGGGAAATGAGTAGCGTCTTAAGTGTTTTGAATTAAATTTTGAATTTTTTTTTTCGATTTTCGGCAAATAAAAGTGGGGCGTTACAGTTTGGTATCAGAGCCTGTTTGCGTTTCTGTAGACTGGTATGTACGAATTATGTGAACTCTGAGAAATTATTGAATACTATGATATAGTTATGACCACTCGCTTTCGTCGTGCCGCGCCAACTCAGGTATGAATACTTGAGTAAATTTTGAATTGCTTATGTGAAATATTATGATATTATGAGATGTAAACCGGGGCTTAGGAATTTATCCTTCTACTTTTAAACGTTCTGGGACTCTAGATGTGTGCCGAACCTTAGTTGTATGAACTTGAACTCTAGCGATATAGAGTTAAGTTGTAACTTGAGGTTTTGTTTGTTTAGAAATTTGATATGGTGTTACACCATCAATTTAATTAAGTTTGGCCATGAGTTTAATTAAGTTGGCCAATATTTTTCTCTATCCGATAGTATCAGGTAGAAAATCCTTTTCAGTTGCTATTAGATATCTCTGCCAAATTATAGTCAAGATATCACGCCACTTTCGTCAATCGGTAGAGTTAAGAGCAGATATATTATATATATGTAGGGGGCGGATCAAATGCGGTCAGATCTTAAAATGCGGACAGCTATTAGCAACTACAGAGAACTAACCTAGCAACTACTAACTTAGCAACTACAAAGAACTAACATAGCAACTACAGAGAACTAACCTAGCAACTACAGAGAACTAACCTAGAAACTACAAAGAACTAACCTAGCAACTAGTAACCTAGAAACTATAGAGAACTAACCTAACAACTACAAAGAACTACAAGACAACCAAATGCTCTCACCTCTCTCTAGCTTTCTCTCTTTTGAATTTACCTTATCCCCTTTCAACATCATCCACCTCCTCTCTTCCCCCTCGGCCACTACCCCCGCCTAGCCATTCCCACGGCGGCGGCCTCCCCAGCCCCTTGGCCTCCGGGCTATATTTTTTCAATTTTTAGTTTCATTTACCCGCTCGTAGTCATGGTCCCACCCCATCTCCCATTACCGTCTCTTTCGCCTCCTCTCCCCCAAACTCCGACCAGCCTCACGCCGGACCTTCTGAACCTGCTTAAGCTTCCAGATTTCCAACAAGTCATCGCGGTTTTCTTGGACAGAAACTCTCGGGTGGAAGAAGGGGAAATTCCTCCTTCTGTGACCAAAATTTCGAGTGGTCCCGTCGCCGGAATGAAAGACCCCTGCCCGGTTGGAATTCGATTCCCGATTGCTTTTGGGACATTGCCGTCGGATATTCCCTTGTCGGTCATCCCACTCTCAGCACTTGAAGACGGCGCTTCAGAGAAACCAAACCTCAGCTGATCAATGACGTGGCCCCAATCCCGTCCACTCACGCGGCCAATCAAAATCTTATCAGATATGGGCCCATTCCCAGGCCCAAATCCTCCCATCTCATTGGTCCTCTCCCTTTTGGGCCAAAATCACCCAACCCTATCTCAACCCACATCCTTAC